ATAAACGCATTTACTGCATGGCAGATGTGTTAACCACTAAGCCACTGTGCTGCCCATATATAGTACATACATATACATATATATATATATATATATATATATATACACACATATACATACACACATTGAATTCAAGCCACAGTACACTGTGAAGACAGTGAAGCATGGTTGCGCAAGCATCATGATATGGGGATGTTTCTCATACTACGGTGTTGGGCCTATTTATCACATACCAGGGATCATGGATCAGTTTGAATACATCAGAATACTTGAAGAGGTCATGCTGCCTTATGCTGAAGAGGAAATGCCCTTGAAATAGGTGTTTCCAACAAGACAAAGACCCCAAACACACCAGTAAACGTACAACATCTTGGTTCCAGACCAACAAGATTGACGTTATGGAGTGGCCAGCCCAAGCCCCGGATCTTAATTCAATAGAAAACTTGGGAGTGACATCAAAAATGCAGTTTCTGAGGCAAAACCAAGAAATAGAGAACTGTGGAATGTAGTCCAATCATCCTGGGCTGGAATACCTGTTCACAGGTGCCAGAAGTTGGTTGACTCCATGCAACACAGATGTACAGCAGTTCTCAGAAACAGTGCTTATACAACTAAATATTCATTAAGTGATTCAAAGGAAAGCTAAATCTTCAAAATTTTTCAGTTTATATAGCAGTGTTTGTAGTTTGTAAAGAAGAATACAAACATTCACTATATGATTTTTTGAACAGTCTAATATTCACTTTTCTTCAATTTCTTTAGAGGAACAACACAAATTTGATATATTTTTCTTCATGTTTTAATTTGGAATAGAATGTGTAGTGTTCCCAATGCATTTGTGTGTATGGAAATAAAAGCTATTAGAAGGATTTTGAGCTTTATTCACTTTTTTCAACACACTGCTATTATGCTGAACACAACTGTACATACAGAGACTGCAGACACAGTACAGGAGATGACCAGAGACTGCGGACACAGTACAGGAGATCACCAGAGACTGCGGACACAATACAGATGACCAGAGACTGCGGACACAATACAGATGACCAGAGACTGCGGACACAATACAGGGGATGACCAGAGACTGCGGACACAGTACAGGGGATGACCAGAGACTGCGGACACAGTACAGGAGATGACCATAGACTGCGGACACAGTACAGGAGATGACCAGAGACTGCGGACACAATACAGATGACCAGAGACTGCGGACACAGTACAGGAGATGACCATAGACTGCCGACACAGTACAGGAGATGACCATAGACTGCGGACACAGTACAGGAGATGACCAGGGACTGCGGACACAATACAGATGACCAGAGACTGCGGACACAGTACAGATGACCAGAGACTGCGGACACAATACAGATGACCAGAGACTGCGGACACAGTACAGGGGATGACCAGAGACTGCGGACACAGTACAGGGGATGACCAGAGACTGCGGACACAGTACAGGGGATGACCAGAGACTGCGGACACAGTACAGGAGATGACCAGAGACTGCGGACCTAGTACAGGAGATGACCAGAGACTGCGGACACAGTACAGGAGATGACCAGAGACTGCGGACAGAGTACAGATGACCAGAGACTGCGGACACAGTACAGGAGATGACCAGAGACTGCGGACACAGTACAGATGACCAGAGACTGCGGACACAGTACAGGAGATGACCAGAGACTGCGGACACAGTACAGGGGATGACCAGAGACTGTGGACACAGTACAGGAGATGACCAGAGACTGCGGACACAGTACAATAGATGACCAGAGACTGCGGACACAGTACAGGAGATAACCATAGACTGCGGACACAGTACAGGAGATGACCAGAGACTGCGGACACAGTACAGGGGATGACCAGAGACTGCGGACACAGTACAGGGGATGACCAGAGACTGCGGACATACTACAGGGGATGACCAGAGACTGCGGACACAGTACAGGAGATGACCATAGACTGCGGACACAGTACAGGAGATGACCAGAGACTGAGGACACAGTACAGATGACCAGAGACTACGGACATAGAACAGGGGTTGACCAAAAGACTGCAGACAGTACAGGAGATGACCAGAAACTGTGGACCTTTGAGGCGGGAGGGGGAGCGGGTACCTGACTTTGACAGGTAACGCTCCCACTTCCGCGCAGTTGTCCTCCCTTTAGTTCGGGCACCTGGCTGTGACAGCCGGGTGCCCACTGCGCATGCGCGAGAAGCGCTGCGCTTTTTGAATGGCCCGGCATCTTCTGGGACACATAACCGGTCTCAGAAGACGCCGGGCCATTCACAAAGCGCTGCGCTTCGCGAACATGCGTAGTGGGCACCCGGCTGTCACAGATGCCGGCGCGGGAAGACTGTACAGCACTGGACCGAGGAACAGGTAAGGTCCTGCTGCAGAGAAGGAGCTGAGTGGCCGGCCCGGTAGTCCGACACAGTGTCGGCGGCGTAAATACCGGACCGGCAGCTCCATATTCGCTCCATAAGACGCACAGACATTTTCCCCCCTTTTTTGGGGGAGAAAAAGTGTGTCTTATGGAGCGAAAAATACGATACATACATACACACACACACACTGCATGTTGAAATGCATTTTTATTTCAAAATATATGAAAAATATTACTAAAAATACATTTCAGAGATGTCTTTAAAAATATAGATTTTTTAAAAATATATTTAGATTTTTTTTAACATAAAAAAATGTCATTTTAACATATATTTTTACATATATTTGTAAATGCATTCCAAAAATGTAGATTTGTATTTTTAAAGACATACAGTATATCTGAAATGTATTTAATAATATTTTTCATATATTTTGTAATAAAAACGCATTTCAACATGCAGTATACATTTATTGAAATATGTTGAATATGGGCCAAAATTGTAGCATTTCAAATATATGGCAATATATGTGGGAAGAATATTTTTAAAATATATTTCAAATATATTTTTCTTCCATGTGGGAAGCGAATATCCTGCCCTAGGAACCAGACATTTTTCCCTCCTTGTTATCTTTGGCATTGGTCCCCTCACCATCCTCATGATTTCTCCTACCTTTGGAGCCTAACAGAAAGGATCTGGCCACTTTAAGTGTTGTCTCCATAAAAAAGGGTAGAGCATATCACTGCAGGCAATGATGTGGACACCCCAAGAAGGACCCCAGGAAGTTAGCAGACATAAAAAAATTGCCATGTGACTGTGGCTTCACTTAAAGTGGTTGTAAACCTCAGACTTGAAATATGAACAAAGCTCATCTCTCTATAGTGAGTACTTGTCCCAGTTCAGAGCACTAAGTATCATTTCTGTCTGATGCTTCATTCCTCTGCTAACAGAATGAATCTCCTCTGAGAAGTTTTCCTTACACCAAGAGACAGGGGAGGGATCTCCAGCAGATTGACAGCCTCTGCTCTGTTCTTGTGAGCTGTGTGAAGGGGGTGTGTCTCTTCCCTCCACTGATGCAACTTCAGCTCCCCCGCCCCCTGATTTTCAGAGCTGAGAGATCCTATGTAAAGTCTGCATTTTGAACAGATGTAGAGAAGACTACAGATAAACAGGTACAACTTATGTAGGAGGATTTGTTTAATCTCTGTGTATAACTGGTGCCCAGTCACTTCACTGGGTATAGACAAGGGATTACAACCACTTAAGAATAATGGGCATTTAGATTTTTTTTTTTCATACCAATGGTTAGTAAGAGGAGGATCTGCTAATATCCTGAATATGGCTTTAAAGTGTTACTAAACCCACAACAGTAAAATCAGTCTGTATATGCAGTAAAGCATGCTTGTTATACTCACTGTGGAACCTAAGGGGTTAATCCTCTGCATTGTGTAAAAAGGCTGTTTAATTCTGACTTCTCTGCCCCTCCTCTTGTTCAAATGTTCACGCTAAGACAGACTGAACCCGTAGCCCTTCTGCACATGCTCAGTTTAGTGTGTATTGCTAGAGATGTTTTTTTCTTGGGAGAGTGCATGTGATCAGCACAGGGCCAATCAGCCTGTCCAGACAGAGGTAAGGGGTTTTGCATCCTAGAGCAGAATTAAAACCTCCTCCTACAAGCTTTAACCAGTGCTCAGCTGAAGTCACAAAACTGCTCTAATTGCTGATGAGAAAAGGTATTTAGCAGTTTATAGTTAATAAAATAATTGTACTTCCATGTTCTGTGTGATACCAGATATAGTGAATGCAGGGTCCTGGGTTTAGTAACACTTTAAGAAAATAAATGCAGCGTACGTGAAACAGTTTGAATTCTAAAAGTAATATTTCTTATTCTTGCAACTAGCCCCCCATTTATTGTTTTGTTAAAAAAAAATATATACATCTTAAGAATTTTTTTAATCCATTTTTTTTTTAACTTAAATGAATAAATTACAAAAAGTTAAGTGCGTTATTTTTTTTTTTAAAGTAACATATCACCAAAATAAATATATACATAACTGTAGACTACAACCATATCTTTAAAAATATGGAATTGAGATTTATAATTAAAATAGGCCCAGTAAAAAAAAATTAATAAAAAAAAATAAACAGAGATAAAAGCAAAAAAAGTGCCCTTTCTGGAGATTCTGACCTTTGCAAGATCTAAACGTGCAGTCTATGTTTGTTATCCAGTGACCAATATTAATTAGCACCCTGTCAACCATGAAAAGCAGCCAATTTTAACCATTTTCTGCCAACTAATACATTAAAAAAAATAGTCCTCGTTGGCCACCCTTTACGTGACTTCAAACTGCTTCTGACAGGTATTCTTGTTGTTCCCATGTAAAGCACTTTGGTGGCTTATGAAGTGTTACTTTCCTGAGCCAACTCCAAGTTTTCAGCTGCTGTAATATGCATCTCCCAGAATATTCTGGGCTCCACTGTCCTTTAGTTTGGCAAATAGAATCTGTGCTGGAGGTGCAACACCCAAGCAGATTACAAAATAGTGTTTTTTACGGTTATGACTTTGCTATATATTTGACATGGCAGTATACACGGAAAACCAAGGATCTGGCTCATGTGTTCCGAGAATGGCTTCCTGAGGTTTTGGGACAAGGGCTGGAATTTATTAAGGCTGTGGTTAAGTCTTCACTCAAGGCCATTTCTTTGGAGTCGAGAAGGTGGAACTCTGCACAGAAAAGCAGAAGGTGAAGGTAGAGGGTGTTCAGATGGGGATGTAGTTCAAGATTCACTACCGTTTTAAAGTGACAGGTGTAGATGTGACCCAGAAGGTGGAAGAGGAATCTGAATGTCTTTTGAATGGCTGGTTTAAAGGCCTTTGGGAAATCTTTACCTGAACGAAAAAAAAAAAAAAAGACAAACATCATTGTTACAAAATCAGTCAAACAATTTTAAAAATGCAGACATTTTTAAGAGCAAATACTTGATCAAATGTGAATTACTGGCTTACGTACCTTGTTACGCAATTACAAAAAAAAAAAAAAAAAAGCAGCTTTGAGCCAATAAGCTTTGGGTTCCGGTACCTTAACCCCTTGACGCCGACGTAACACAAAGATGTGGCCTCACAGAACTGGGTTTTTTTTCAGTGGGGCTGCATATTTGCGTAGCTGTCTTTGTGCTGGGAGCGTGCCGCCGAGCCAAGCGGTATTTAGATTTGTTTTACACTTAGGCGTGAAGGGGTTAATAAAGAAGCATTTCTGTCACTAGTATTCCTTAGGTCAGATCTGTGCCATATCATAACCTTCAAGTACCATCTGTACTTCTATGCAATTCAGAGCATCTTTGCAGGATATGAGCTGTATTTACACAACAGCAACCACAAAGTACAGCTAAAACTTTGTTCTTGTTTCTGGGCCATGCTACACAGAGACTGAAGCCATACCTTTGACAAAGCTGGCACTTAAACTGGACATTGCTCTCTGAAATTGCATGTCGAGTGGATCTGAATGCAAAATGGGAAGATTTGCTGTCTTGATATATTAAACATCTGGAATTGTTAACTAATTAGTATCCTGAAAAATCTGCCTTTTTATCGTGAATTCCCCTTGAAAATAGCAGTTCCTGGTATGTGAGGGTGCCTAGGTACTCCTGTGCCTACAGCCTCATAGATGTACAGTATATGTGTGTGTGCATTGTGTGAGGCACTGCTGCCTTTGACTGCTAGTGTCACAAGAATTGAAGCAAGATTTGGTAAAGCTGCTTACTGCTTTCTTTTCTGAAACGAAAGCTACTATGTAATGAGCTCCTTGTACCTTTCTTAAAATATATATATATATATATATATATATATATATATATATATATATATATTTTTTTTTTAAATACCAAACATTATACTAAACTGCTCTGTGTAATGGTATAGCACAGAGCACCTCCAAACCCCCTCTTCTGGGGTGCTCTGCCACTGATCTTGGCTCTTCCTCTTTTCTTTTTCCATGTGCCACCATAGGAAGCCGCTTCTTATGGTGGCAAACATGTGTGGGCTCGCTCCCGAGATAGACAGTGTGCATCCACAGACACACACACACACCGCAGCTGAGCCCCACCTCCTGCTCCCTCCTCTCAGCATTTGATTGACAGCAGCAATCTCTGCTGCCTCTGAGTCTGTGAGAGCGGAGAGAGAGAACCAGCACTGCTGCAGATGGGCACAGTGCTGGATTGATACAGGACTCAAGTATTTAGGGAGGGGGGCGGGGTTGGGGGAATAACTAGTGGAAGGTTTTTGCCTTAATGCATGATGTGTATGTACTACATTAAAGGAGAAGTATAGCCAAAGCTTTTTTGGTATACTTCTCTTGATCACTGGACTGTAGTTAGCTCTGCACTCCTGTGACCTGTTTTTCAGCTGACAGAGGGCTGAAGCCCGCTGTCATCTGACGTCACAGAGCTGGTCCAGGTTCTGAAAAGACCCCAACCATACATTTGGTATATGCCCAGAAACCTGGACTGGCAGCCTGCTCAGCCTCTCAGAAAGCCACTGAGAGCCTGAGCCAGCCGCTCCCACCTCCTCCACAGCCCAGTGCTCCAATGAGCGCTGGAAGGGCAGATGACTGACAATCACCACTCTCTGCTCAGAGTGGAGGGGGGGAGAACTGAGAAATCGCATTGTTTGATCGCTCAGTGCAGAGCAGGTGGGGGACAGATGCACCATTGGATCACTGCTACATTCACCTTGGTAAGAATAATGTTTTTTGTTTTTTTTTAAAGTCCATACTTCTCTTTTAAGGTAACAAAAACAAAAAACAAACAACAACCACTTTAAATATTCCCAAACCGAACAGTAATAAGATTACCAGTAGACAAGTCATCAGAGAGCAACTAAGCAAATCCCTGTGTTCTTTAAAGTGATTATAAACCTTTAATTTATATTTTAAATAACAGTTGTTATATTTACCTACTCCGTGCAATGGTTTTGCACCCCTGATCCAAGCCCCACTTGTAAGAAGGGCCCATGAAACATGGGAGATTGCAAAGCAGGTGGGGGCAATGGTCTTTGGAGTAATGAAGAGAAGATATACATATAGTATGACTGCTGCCAAACAGCCCAACCAGGTAAGTGACTTCACTTTACTGCACTGCAGTGAAGCAATACAGTTTAGTCACGGACTAAATATTAAGTATTTTTTACATGGGATCAAAAGGGTAATGGTCAGGGCACATAAGCTTAACTTACAGTGTTTAGTAGGGACCAAATCCTCATCTGTCAGGATTTTTTGGATGATGCTGGCAGCATAATCTGCATACTGTGGTCCAGAGCATTTTCTTTTGCGTCCTTTTTCATCTGTCCACTGGATTTGCCTAGGAAAAAAATAAATTAATTAAACTCTTGGCAAAGACTGTGGCTTTATACATCATTTAAAGCATATGCAAATTAATTTTTTTTTAAATTAAATTTTTTTAAGTTTTGGATAGAATGGGAGGGGTTAGACCATCTGTCATATTTTTGTTTGATCCACTCCACTATTTTGTCCTGGTGACCACTGTCCCTGTGATAGAAAATTTAACATTTTGGCGTTAGTCATGACTGCAAGAGATGAAGGAGAAATCTTCCAATGGGGGCAAATGTTCTGATGACTATGTTGGAAATTCCCCTTATTTTGGAAGATTTCCTCTCACTTTCTGTTATGTCTGCAAGACAGAAAGTAAAGGGAAATCCCTACAGCAGGACAAAGACTTTTACTCCTGTTAAACCTAATTGCTTTACATAATAATATACTGGTAACCCAGCAATTTTAATTTAAAGTAGCATTTGTCACCCTGTAAAAGCTCTGATTGTTGCAGTTATCAGCAGCCTCACTTATTTCTCCAGTTTTCATAAATCAACCACTCTAGTTACTGGGGAACTACAAGTCTCAGCATTCGCTACCTATTATACTTCCCATGTCCCATCATTCTTTTCCAGTTGATCTTTATTCTCTAGCATTCTTCATCAGCCTCCATAAAAATAAAAATCTTAACAGATCTACAAGCCCCAGTATACAAATTATGTAGAACCACAGTGTTTAGGATGACTACACAATACAATCTGATTGTTGTCCTGCTGCCACTTTCCTTTGTCCACAACTTACCTCCTTCCTCAAAAGCTACAATCGTCTTTCTGTTTATCTTCCAACCATGCTTAGCCCCTTCTATTTATTCCTCCAATGGTCAATGATCACATTACAATCAACCGACTCTACACCTGGTCCATAATCAGAACCACCTTATATCTCTACCCCTCCAACTAATCCACAGTAATCTACATTCTGCCTTTTCTCTTGGGGAAAGTGGAAAAACAGCAATAGAGCCATAAGGTTATCTTACTGGTATTGCCATCTTAAAGAACGGATGTTGATGTAAATAATCTGGTCCTGGGCAGGCAGCTTCTAAACCCCAGTGGATCTCCATGGTCTCCTTGGCTTGTAGTGTTATGTAACAAAAATGTAAATTGAAGCTCCACACCACTGCTTACAGGCTCAGATGTGACTTTGTTCTAATAAAAGGCCGGCTGACAATCCAAGGAGTAACCAATGCATTTCAGAGATCCAAAACCCCCCCTTTATCAGGGCCTAATTGAAAACAATGTGAATGGACTAGAAGTGAACTGGGCCTTTGATGGCATTTTTCTTCCAATGTGGTTACAAGCACAGGTCTTGTCAACAGCTTGTCTGGCAGCCAAAACAGCTGCTGATAGCACCTATGCTTGGATGGAGGAATCAGTTATGTTCTTGATCATTCTATGCCTCTCTATTTGTTTCCCAGTCATCTCGGACCCCATCTTCTCTATCCTTTCCAATGTTCCATGGTATGCTGTAATGAACAACTTCCATTTTGCCTTCCCTAAGCTCTCCTGGTCCACAATCCTTTGTAGTTCTGCCGTTTTCAACACGATGGCACAAGAAATGCATAAATGCACATCAACAGATGTCAATGCGCATAAAAACACAAGTAAATGCTTTTCAATGCACGCGTATTTTCATGTTTTTTAAATGCACGTTATGGTGTGAAAGAGCCCAATCCTTTTCCTTCAATCATGTTTGGCTACCATTCTGCCTTCTTCTTCCCTCATGGTAAATAACAGTCTCCTATACCTCTGCTCCATGATCAGATTACCATTCTCTCTCCACCTATGAGTTGTAAATGGGGAAGACCACTTGACAAAATAATCTGTTCAGCTATAATATCGTATGAATCAGCAGTAATGCATACCAGTGTGTTGAAGCCAAAAGACCCCAAGCCTAAATTAACTCATTCATGAACGGCAAACATTTCCTAGTCTGTAGTTCAGCCCATCTAACGAAGGTTTTCATATCACTGACAGATGGAACAGCTAAATTGAGCATAAGCTGCGTGTCAAAGACCACTTCAATTCCGAGCAAAGCAAGGCAGCAGGTGCAGGGGGAGCTAATTATACGTCCCTCAGGCCTGCGTCAGCTGGTTTTTTGTTTGCAGGTTACCTGGCAACTTCATGACAACAAAGCGGAATCTGCACAGCTCTTCGGCAAGTGTAAAATTGGATTTCCCAAACACTAGCCACAAAGAGAACATGTGTCATAGACCACCTTCTACAATGCTGGAGAACCAGTAACGTCACTACTTAAATTGGTTCTTCTTAAGGGAAGTGTGATCTATGGTTTTAAACAGCACTTTCTGGCCATGCCATCTGAAAAATGTAATTGTCAGAAAGTGCTAGGCTGCACAGCACTGTTAGAATGGGTTTTCTGATGCTGACAGTAGACTTTGCCTGCAAAATGTACATTGATACTGCCGCTTATAGTCTGCCTGAAGCTCACATGACAGGGTGATACCACAAGAAAACAGATGGGAGTTGGGTTGCACCAATACTGATACGGTATCGGTGTCAAAACTAAACATTTGCATGAGTACTTGTACTCATGCAAATGCTCCAATACCTAAAAATTGTTTGAGTGGTGCGATTTGAGCCCGTACAAATTGAATAGGCTCAATCGCACTACAAAGAGTCGCATGTGATTTGAACAGGAATGCGGTATGATTCCTGTCCAAAGCACATGCGATTTTCCTGTGGGTGCAGTGCGATTTGACCCTATACAAAATTAATGGGATCAAATTGCACTACAAAGATTTGCATGTGATTGAACAGGAATGCAGTGTGATTCCTGACCAAATCATATGCAGTTTCCCGTTCACATAGGAGCGGTGCAGGAAACTGCATGTGATTCAGACAGGAATTCAACTGCACTCCTGTTCAAATCACGTGTTTCTATGCAGTGCCATTTGAGCCCACTCATTTTTGTATAGGGTCAAATTGCACTGTACCACATGAAAAAAATAGATAGCGGTAATTGGTATTGGCGACTACTTTATATTTACATATACTGCCAGATGTTTACCCCCCCCCCAAAAAAACCCCCCCATCAAAGTCTGCCGATTAAAATCATATTACATACATGTGATTTCTATGGAACATAGTAGAGAAAAGTTCTAAGAAAATGTTTTACTTCAGGAGAGTTTTATTCCCCTTTCTAAGCTACATTGCAACCCACGCAAGGAAAAAAACAAAATGGTTTCTGTAAACGGTTAGCATAACATAATGATAAGATCAGGTCAGGTTGGCGAGGACTCAAATGAACACGACAGAGCATTTCACAGATTCAAGATCACTAAAAATACAAATGACATCCCATAATTTATGTAAATATTTGACGCTTGTACAACAAATTTCCTCTTGATTGTCCAACATCATTGCTGAGAGCTGGGGAAGAATTTTTGAAAAGAAGTTCCTTTTTTAAAAAAAAACTTTTAATTTTCTTTATGAGGTGGAAGGGGGGGGGGCAGAGATCTGATGAATTAAAATGGTTGTAAACTCAAATAGGTTTTTACCCTAATGCATTATCTGCATTATGGTAAAAAAAACAAACAAAAAAACTTTCCAAACAACTGTTCCCATCACCCGGTCAACCTTCTCTCAGCCGTGCTCCCTCCTGGCCAAACAGGAGACTAAGAGCAGCGGGAGCCATTGGCTCTTGCTGCTGTCCATCAAATCCTGTACGGAGAGAGTGGGTATGGCTGAGCAATCTATGAACACAGTCCGGCTCAGGAGTGCACCCACATGGGGCACAAGGCTTGCTGAGAGGGCACTTGTAGGAGAGGAAAGCGCGATTGCATTTTATTTTTTAAAAAGAGCCTTTACAACCACTTTAAACTGGAGCTCTACCCAAAAGGGGATGTCCTGCTTTAAGGCCTCGTCCTCCACTCCCTATTAAGGATTGGCACCTTTGGGAAGTGGGTGCCCGATTATGACAGGTACCTGATCCCACTTCTACTGAAATCACCAAGGTGATCGGAAGCAGAAGTTGTGATCCCCACCCTTCCTCCCCGTCATCTTCTGGTTGAAGTGACAGGTCTCAGAAGATTACGGGACTATTCACAAGAAACAGCGATACTTGTGCATGTGCAGTGGATACCTGGCTCTGAAGCCGCAAGCTGTCACAGCCCGATGCCCACACTTAAGATTCCGGCATCGGGGAGAGAGGACGGCCATTGAAACCGCTGCGGTGAGGACACCGCTGGATCGAGGGACAGGTGTTTTTTTTTAAAAGTCAGCAGCTACAGTTTTTGTAGCTGTTAACTTATATTTTTCAACATTTTGACTGAGCAACCGCTTTAAGACCAGATTAAGACCCTCCCATGCAGCTTTGTAGCAACAGATCACTTCTAAAGCTGGCCATACATTGATCAAAATTCGATCAATGCCAGGCTATCCCTGCTTGGCAGAAGCTGATTTTTTCATCGACTTCTGTCGAAGGCACATACTGGAAATCTTTCATAGTAGTGCCAAAAACAGTAATGTGCATTTTGCTTTTTCATCCCACCTAAAACACACTGACACTAAACAAAAACAGATTTTCTATTTCATCTTACATAAAATACACTGATCCTGACCCATAACTCTGACCTAGATATAACCCTGATCTAGTTATTTAATCTTTATTTTAAACTCAACTTTTTTTTTGTTTTACAATCTTCTCTAGCAAGAAGAAATGAAGTGTATCTTTTTTTCTCCTTTCAAGAGGAGAAATAGACAGTGACTGATCACTGAGTGATGTGATGGCCATCAAAGGCTATCAAGAGATTCTGGTTACTAACATTTATAGGTAAAGTTGATCCAGGGAATATCGGATTGCCTCTAGAGGGATCACGATGGAATTTTTTCCCCTGCAGGAGCAAATTGGATCATGCATTGCTGGGTTTTTTGCCTTCCTCTGGATCAACTGTGGGTGTAGGATTATAACAGTTTTTTTTAATGATTGAAATGGATGGACTTTTGTCTTTTTTCA